GGGCACAATTGCAGAATACCCCGCCACTCAATCTATCCACCTCGTAGCCGGCTACGGAGTCACGGTTGATTGCCCTCAATAAACCTTCTCAGCGCTACTTGTATTTATGCGTCATGCTCCACTGCACTCCCACTCCGTATCCGCGTAGCCGCCAACAGGGTAGCCTAGTTGGTTTGGACTTAGAATTTTTTCAGCAACTCCCATTCCTTTTGTGTTGCTTCGTTCTCAAGCATATTCAAGGGGACTCCCACTCCGTATCCGCAAAGCTTCGTTTTGTTGCTTCGTTCTCAAATAATGGAGCCCACTCAGTATCCGCGTAGCATGGCATGGACTTCAATAGCTCTACTGAGTGGAGCGTTGAACGCTCCACCGATTTGGCATACTTTGGTGACAGCTTCACAGTAGCATGATAGTGTACATACCCACGCGAGGACAAAAAGACCCCAAAAAAACGCTAAAGAGAATACAAATGAGAAAGACAGTAACCCTGGATAGATCCACATATTCATGACATTCCATAAGATCCCTTATATTGTTCCCAAACAGCGGACATTTTGAAAAAAAACCAGCAAAATAGTCAGAAAATTTACAGCTCAATGTGTTTACCGTGAAGCTCAGACCTTGCTCCGACTTGCGAATGAGGGCGTCTGACGTGACGTCACCATCGTTGCTCGATCGAAGAAATTCAAGTTGTGCTTAATCAACGACTGTTTCATGTAGTCATATGTGTCCCGCGCCAAAAGCCCACACTGTCGGCGCGGGGCACATATGACTACATAAAACAGTCGTTGATTAAGCGCAACTTTTTTTTCTTCAATGGTGACGTCAAACACGCGGTAAGTTCAGACTATTTTGTTCTTTTTTTCAAAATTACCGGTTGTTTTGAACAATTTAAGGGGTCTTATGGAATGTCATGAATGTGTGGATCTATCCAGGGTTACTGTCTTTCTCATTTGTATTCTCTTTGTCAGTTTTTGGGGGGCCTTTTGTCCTCGTGAAGGCATGCACAAAATGCATACCGTCATGTCGACCGTGTACCTGTCACCAAAGTATGCCAAATCAGTGGAGCGTTTGTACGGAGGGTACCGTAGTTCAACGCTCCACTCAGTAGAGCTAGGACTTGAATTGTTTCTTTTCCAGTGATTCCAACCTTGTAGCCTGTATTTCCGAGTGGCGGGGTATTCTGCAATTACTCCTATTTATGAATATAGACTGAATTGAAGCATGGCCACCTATATAATAAGGCCTATAGCCACGTTCACGGGTCTAGGCCTAGGCCTAGGGCCTACAGGGGTCAGACAAGTCGACTGCTGAGACAACTCGAACTCGGGACAAGTCGACCGCTGAGACAACTCAACCGTTGAGACAAGTCGACCGTATGTGTGATAAATGAAAAGACAAGTCGACCGTTTAGACAAGTCGCCTCGCATGTTTTGGAACCTAGTTTTGGGGATAGTACCGTTTTTTTTTACGGCGGCTGATCGCTGTTTGGGAGTGATGACACATGAGGGTTTTTGTTGTTGCATATTTTAACCTAGACCCGTGAACGTGGCTTGTAAACTACGCCACGCTGTTGTGTATTTTCGAACCTGGCGAAATTGTCCCTCTGACTCCCTCCGTTACACACACTGGCCATTATTTTGCCCATGTCATAATTAAGTACTCACATATGAAGCTGTCTTGAAATCTGTTTGCACGTCAAAACTTGCATTTGACGAAATTTGAGGAAAATTCTGGCCCCGGTTCATGAAGTCCTGCTAGCTGCCATTTTCTCCCAACTGACGGCGCATTGGCACATTGCCTTTTATTGTTACCGTCCTGTTTCGTATGATTCGACGGCTGTTTACTGTCGCAGCTAAGAGACATCGTTTTGGACAAGTTTCAAGTCCTTTCCTCTCTCACCGCACCGCACGCGGGCGCACACGTACACGAGATGAGCCGAGCAGCCAATCCTCTGCGGGTTTTTTATTCGGGGTTGCGACATGAAACAGCCGTCAATCTGTCCAAGCGACAGGAAGCAAACAGGTAGCTCAGAGGGCTCCGATAATTTTGCACACAAATGACCCTGGTACTCGTCCGGGGTTATTTGTCTGGGTCACTTGTCAGGTTAAAATCTAATTTCTACACATTCGTATGGGTCTTTATTGATGGCAAATTTCGTCGAAATTACACAGCCTGAACAATCGGACAGGCAAATTTAGATTCCTAGGTGAGTAGGCCTACTCAACATCCATCCATACGGAATTATGTATGGCGGATCGATTTCGCTAGGTTCAAAAATACACAACAGCGTGGCGTTGTTTACAATGCCACGTTCACGGGTCTAATATTAACCATGATATAACAGAGCCGATATAGCACAGCGTCGGATTGTCCATGCACATCGCCGTTCGTTTTTTCCGGACCTGTGCGCGCATTTGCCGGTCAACTTGTAGGTACCGTGCACGGTGCCAGCCCTGTGCTCCCACTTATCCCATCCCCGGTCGGTCAACGTGGCCGTACCGTGCACGGTGACATCGATTGTGTCGGGCCTGTGCGCCCACTTGCCGCGCCAGTCGACGTGCCCGCGTGCCGGGCAGGGCCCGGTCCTCGCGGGCGGGGCACACCAGCCCGACGCGACGGCCACCGGATCTGAGCACCCACTGTACATGGAGTATGCCCGCGCCGCGCCCGTGATCGGTCCTGCCATGCAATTTTTTCTGCTCCGCATATACTCCTTGTACTATGAGGCTCCACATAGTGGAGCCTCATAGGTTCAGAACCCCGCAAAATTGTATGGTGTAGGAGCGGAACGATAGTATGCGCATGCGTACAAGTGCAAGTACGTACCCCCCGCGGCGCGCTCCGCGCGATCGAACCCGAAAATGACTGCGATCATTCTGCGCGCGTGCTCGTTTCAAGTGTTAGGTTGGCTCAGTGCGGAAAGGGCATATTTTTCATCATTTTTGCCGAAAACAGACAGAATCCACCGATGTTTGTTGGGTGCACATAACGTGAGTATGTCATGAGGTATTGTACGGAGTTTAGGGGCAAACTGTGCAGCGGTTCTGTGGGAAAAAGCTTTGGGTTGGGATGGACGTTTTTGTACTTAATTAGTGTTTTGTGCTGACAACAATTTTGCGGGGTTCTGAACCTATGACTACGTGGAGCCTCATAGTTCTAGGAGTACTCCGCATATACATTTCCATTAAGTCGAGCTGTCTCAACGGTCGAGTTATCCCGCGTCGAGTTGTCTCAATGGTCATGATGGTCGACTTGTCTCAATGGTCGACTTGTCCCGGGTCGACTTGTCCCGAGTCGAGTTGTCTCAACGGTCGACTTGTCTGACATTCGGGCCTAGGCCCCCTACAATCGTTTTCCTAGTTCCGGATCGCTTTTTGAATTCACGCAGCGTACGTCTCAGCTTGTTTGACAATTTGAACAAATTATGTCAAACAGCTTACCTTAGGATGTGAGGAAATTTATCATGTACATCTGAACAAATATACGAGCCTACTTTGGATACACTGGCGAGAAAAGCATCGGCGTACATTTGCCTAGTTCCGGATCGGTTGAATCTATTCCGGATCGCTTGCGCCCTCTATTGAAATCACACATATTTAGCGTTGTTTACCGCGTGGCTAGGATATAGGACGCGACGCGATCCACATGCGTGCGAGTCAAATCGTGATGCTTACAACTTCAAACTTCACAAGTTCTCTTTTACTATAGATTTTGTTGCCCGTGAAATAGAGGATTTACTACCATGGAGGAATACAGTGAATCCGACTTAAAGCTTGTAATTCTATGAAATTTCGATGAGATTAAAACCTTACAACTGCTCTATTTTTCAATGGAAAAGAAGGATCATTTTCAGCTTGTTCAGAATGGCGCTTGACCTCGGACGTCCCCATGCGCATGCATGATCATCCACAACTTCACAAGTCAGTGAATCTCCAAAATTGGACAAACAATTAAAAGATAACCAAATAAGCTTTGGTTGGATGTGTGACTCCAACGGAATTGTGAGTATTTTCCCTTGATTTTTAATGCCTTTTGAAATGATGCGGGGCCTGCACTGCATGCAGATGAGCATGATGAGTAGAGGCGTAGCAAGGTCATTTTTATTGGAGGGGGAGGGGGGGGGGAGTTTTTTCCCTCAAACTACATCCATTATTTATACATGGTTGTTGAACACCCTCTACAATACTTTAATGATACATGTAGATATATATTTTTTTTTTTCTGGATTTGTTGAGAAGTGCGATAGGGTCGTGATTTTGTGCCAAGAGAAATCTCATAGTTCGAGGGGTAGGTTCGAGTCACTGTTTTGTACCCACATTCTTTTTCTTTTCAAATCTGAGGATTATTTTTAAAAATAAAATCTGGATTTCATTACGTTTGAATTCATTTTTTTCTAATTTCATATTTTCTTCTCATGTTTTCACAGAAGTAGAGTCCAAATTGACATAATTGAAAAAAAATCGCAGTCCGTGAGGAGGCGGGGGGGGGGGGGATAGTTATTGTATAAAGGGACACTCGTACATCTAAGCTGAAATTATGTAGACACAATTTTGAAAAGATTGTTGCAACCTGACACCACTTTTTTGATACATGTAACAGGTATCATCTCAATAGGTCAGTCATTGCAAAAATGTTGAAAAGACATGAATCTGGGACTGAGACACATTTACTTAGTAAGTGTTCTTGACTCTCCATAGACTTTGTACATAACCGCCCATACTGAAATTTGTATCCTCTTGTTGAGACATTTCTTTGTTCTCGTGTACTCAAGTGTTCAAGTTTGAAAGTACAGTTTCAAAATTATTGTAACCAGAATTAATTTCCTTGGCTGAAATTTGGACTTAATATCCCTTTTCTAAAACCCACCATTTGCAGGGTAAACAATGGCGAATAAAAGGCCCTTGAATGAAAATGGGCAGCCTTTAATACAAAATGTTTTGGGTGGGGGAATACCCTCTTGAGTTTTTTTTTGGGGGGGGTAGTAAATGTTGGGGAAGGGCACTTGAATGGAAAAGGGGCAGTCTTGACAAAAGACTGGGGGGGGGAGTGTTAAAATATCCCCCTTAATCCTTATACAAATTTGCTATTTAAGCAATTACAAACTAAAAAATGTATGGTTTCCTGAGCCATTATCAATATCACTATGAAAATGAACAAGGACACTGAGTTGTACAATGGAGGAACTGCATTATATTTATTTGTCTAGTACTAGTCATGCCAGTACACAAAAGCTTTACAAGTTTTGTTTTCTAAGTATGAATTTTATGTACATGTTATTGTAAAGGATTCAAATTTAAATCAGGAAAAATATATATACAATGTTCATGCTTATTTTGTGTCTCAGCTAAACACATTTTAGAATGTATGAATTAATATTTATCTTCAGATATCAGGGCCATAGGCTTCATTCACGAATCGACCATTGCTTATGTTGCAAGCTAGGCACAATTGTTATTTTTTGAACTTACAAATAGAAATGAAAGGACTGAAATAAAGTTAATCACAAATTAATATCAGTAAGAATTTAAAATGTTTGATTAATTATACACTTACAATGTATGTTTGAAGCCACATAGTGAGACTTGGAACATTGTAAATAGTCTTGCACCATCCAGTTCAAAAGGTCTATTATACATGTGGGAGTCCCGATATTCATATTTAGGAAACCGCGGCTGTGCAGACGCAGCATACGAAATCGTTTGGGTAGCTGCATGCTGTACTGTGTATTGCGTGCTTAGGGATTTTCCCCGATGAGAAATCATTTTGTGTGCGGACCACGGTGAAAAATTTGCACACATGCATGGGATGGAACGTGTGAATGTCATGGAGTGACAACCATCCGAAAATTCAATGGAATTGGTGATTAACACTTTCAGGAAGTGAGTATTTATTAAGCAAGGGTGAATTATCCGTATCACTCAGACAATCTTACAGCTTTTGATCATTTTATTAGTGTAAGCTTTGGAAAAATTTTGCATACAAAATTAAGCTTTCTTGCATACAAAAAAGAAGACCGCGTGTAATGTATTTTCACTGTGCAGGCAGAAAATGCAATCAACACTCGATTTATGACAAATTTTCCAACTCTAGATGTGCATACCTTGCCAAAAATTGCTGAGCATTGCTCCTTTTGATCATTTGATACAGTTGCCAAATTTTTGGACCAAAGCTGATAGCCTAAATAGTAATTTTAAGCATTACAGTCAATCGTTTGCAAACTTGACTCAAACCAACTCGACCGTCGTACCAACTCAACCGTTGAACCAACTCGTTCGTTGACCAACTTGACTTCACTTTCGACTTCAACTCGATCGTTTGCCAACTCGTCTGTTGTACAACTAGACATAAACCTTGGGTTGAGTGATTTGATTTTTGGTGTGCATACTACTTGTTCATATTATAGCACGAGTTCGTCCAGGTTTTGCGGACAATTTTGCATCATAACATTTTGCATCTATTATGTACTTGGCGATTCATCTGTTCTTTTCTCTGAAAAAAAAAGGAAAATAATTATATATGTCTGGCAAAAGTGGCATGCTAAAACAGTGATTACGCGTACGCATGTTCCATGTTGCTGTGTAGTGCAAAGCGGGATTGGAACTTCATTTTACCTATGTGTCACGGCGGGCAGTCTGAAATTTGTCAGGTCACGATGGGGCCAGGACATTTGACCTTGTGCAGTGCAAACCGGAAAAGAAAACCATAACTTTTTTTTTGTAATAAGAGATATAAATCTGTTTCAAAAATCAAACTGTTGTTCGTTTGATATGATTCCAATGATATTAAACATTTTGTTCGGTTTCGAGAACTTATGGTTTCAAGAACTTAAGACTTTTAAAAAATAAGGACAATTTGACACTAAAAATGACTGAATGTTTCACTGGATTTTGCCAAGTAAACTGTCATATTTCCAAAATGCAAGCTCGTATAAAAACGATTAATTTTATTTATTAGTTGGACAACAGTCTAGTTGACTTTTCCAGTTGAACGCACAACGGTCGATTTGGACAATGGACAAGTTGGTAAACAGTCGAGTTGACTTTTACAGTTGAACACACAATGGTCAAGTTGGTTCAACGGTCAAGTTGGTCCGAGTCGAGTAGGCAAACGGTCAAGTTGACCTGACACCGCCTAAAAGATATGTAATTGTACACATTTACATGCACATACTATCTACTTAAACAACAACAAAAAATTCGCTGTAATTCCTTAACTCAGAAAATTCATTAAAATGCGTCTCCAAAGCCATATTTTCAATGTACACGTATCATCTCAAACAACTTGAACAAGGAGTTTTGTAATCTTCACTTTGTCCCATATTCAGAAAATTCATCATAATTTGTTTACATGTACCTTTCTATGGGATTAAAGTTGTGCTGGATATTTAGAAAATTCATCACAATGTGTCTTCCAAAGGCTAAGTGCACTATATTTACATGTATACATACACAACATAGGTTTTGTTCTCCACAAATCTATATCTCCGTAATAAAAAAACATCATGTTGTGTCTTCCACCAGAGGCCCTATTTACATAGTACAATCAACTCACACAACACAACAACGTATTTCTTTTTATGTTTGCTGATTAATTAGTAATCACATCCAGTGTACAGGAAATAGAACAGTCAAATAGCTTGTTGCTGCTTGGAATCTTCTTTAAAAAAAAAAAGCTATGCACATACACCCATAAGTTGTGGCCTTTTATTGTCTGGTGCAACTTTTTTTGTTGATGGTAAGTTTTTGGTCGACAGCTGTTCACTGTTGTTTCCTGTTACAAGATTAAAGCCCTCGACACTCATTGATCGCCGCATGCAAATTTTAATTGCCATGCTCTGCATGAAAGTTTTGACCGGCAATTCCAGTTGCAATTCCAAATATCCGAATATTCGGTCAAACACCAGAATACCCAAATACAGTGTATTAGTATCAAATACTACATTATTCTAAAGCAAACAGCCCTACATTGTAAAATTGACTTCTTTGCTATAACAAAAATGAAGTTGATTCACTTTATTACTTGCAAGTGTATTTCATTTTATTCATCCCAAAGCACTGTTCCCTCTTGAGAAATTAATTTCATACATTTCCCCTCTGGCATAGCTTTCAATGCATTCACAAGAATGTCAACTAAATCTGACCTTCCACCAACTACAATATATGTACATGGTATTACTGCACCGCCACCTTTCTCAAACACAGCAGGCCGAGGAGGATAACTCTGAACTGGCTCCCCTGTAGCTTGAGCATATATTTTCCCTCCAGATTCAATTATTTTCCTAAATGCAGCACCAAGTCCCCTTGGTGCATGCCCTAAAGGCAAACCTGCAATGTCTTGAAACTGTAGGTGTTTCTTTGCATCTGTTTCTAATTTATGCTGATGCCTTGGTACTGATTCTAGTGGTGGAATCCACACAAGAGTTGCATCAATATCATGGATGTTGGTATATTCCAGGTCAACTGGTAGAGATGTTGGGGGTGTTGTCATAGGTGGTCTAATTTGATAGAAATGATAGCCCTTTATCACTGAATTTATCACCCTACACTCTCTATCAACTGTACTGCTGTTGACTCCGCTACTACTACAGCAGCCAAACTGTAATTCTTCAGGCTGAAAAAGAAGTGAAGGTGACATTAACTGACCTGTCCCAATCTCAAAACATTGATGAGGAAACCTTTTCATTTTGCATAAGTTTTTTTTTTTAGCAAAACTAAATTTATTAGCTGAACTAAATTCAATTCAGTTATGCTAAAAAATATTAATTATGAATAATGAAAAAGTATGCATGGATTCTTAAGTACAACGTGTGATATTTATGCTGGCAAGAGACTCCATTCACAAAGTCTATGGAATTTGGAATAGAACAAAAAGAAGAGGGAAGACGAAAACAAAGGCTGTGGACATCACTTTATATTTTTTGTTTTGTTTTTGTTTCTACCTAGAACAAGGCAAGTGGGAAATATGCGTGTATCAAGCTTGATATCCCCACTGCACAACAGACCCAAGTTCCATGATGGCATGATGGCAGTGTTTGACCTTAAAGGTAGATTAGATCATATGCAGTTATACAAAAAGTACAAATGTAACTGATGTAATTGTTGTCGAAAAGCTTGCTTGGTTTACAAATTATATGGGGATGGCAATTAATTCCCTGTGAAAATATTTTTCTGGATTGCTGTCATTTTGAAGAAAACAATAAAGAAATACCATTTAGCAAGCTGGTAAAGTGATGCATTTAAAAAAAAAAAATTGTTAGTACATGTAGTTAGGTTGTAATTGGGTGAATCTGTGAATGGTTGTGGTGACGCAAGCATTGATGCTATGCTCATGTGTGCAATTGTCGCTTCAGTGCGTGGCATCGTGTAGCTGCGATCGGCTGAATGAGAGTGTGTCCTGGATGCTGATTTTGGGCGCAATTAAAACATACCTTGGCAACTTTGTATTGAATTGAAAAACATGCATGGATGACATATGATCTACCCTACCTTTAAACATACATTACATAAAATGAACCACTGAATGAGTGCATATTTGGTGGGGAAAAAACAGAAAAGCCTACTCTGCTTTCATTTTCTTAAACTGCACATTTGTGACATACAAACTTAGCATTAGTATCTTCTACCACTGTTTCTTGGTCATAGGCTAAGCTAGATGGAATACATTTTTGGTGCATCCATTCAAGGCATTCATCACACTGTATCCACATCAGATTATCACCCTTCCGAACATTGGCTTCATAGGATACATTGCAAACTGGACATAGTGTCTCTGCACCCTGCCCATGGTCCTGTGGATACTCTCCTAGGCCTGTACTTGTAGATTTATTCTCCTTTTTCTTTTTCTGCAGGTATCTCTGTTTGGCCTTGTGCTCCATCTTCGCCTTGTGTCTGACCTTCTCAAGTTGATGCAGAGCCATTCTTCGCAGGCAGTCAGGTGATGTCAAGTTGTCGGGCAAAGAGTCCAGAAGTCTTCTTGACCGTGATACAGTTGGGACAGCTTGTGGGAAAGTGAGTGCATCTTCCAAGGTGTTTGAAATTGTTGCTTGTGAGCAAGGTTGTGAAGAAGTTACAGTGTTTTCAGGAGTTGCGCACTCTTCACTGGTGACATGGTCCACTGCTGCAACAAGCATGCTCAGTCCACAAGGAATGTTATACTCGGTCGCTTGTTGCACTGCCGAAACTTTCGGAAGCTCTCTTGGAATGCCAGTTTTCATTTTCAGCTGCTTGTACGTTCTGAAGCGTGGGGACAATGGCAGACTTTCAGCGTCATCATCACCACCTGCAAGGGACATCCGCTTCTCATATTCTGTTACAGTGGCTTCATCCAACACTGATCTGAAAACCTGAAAAGCGTCATCAGCTCTTTGTGAGGGGACACTTGTGGAGGGCTCATCTTGGGGTGTCTTTGATTTAAATGTCAAAGAGGGCTTCAGCTTCTCATTTGAGATTGCTTCTCTGTTGATGGGATAAATCCCCGAAGACTTGAAGCTGTTCATCACAGTCAGAGGCTTATAGAATGCAAGGACGGTTTCATGTAGCTTTGCTGGGAATGTTGCCTTGTTGATTGGATCCCCAGGTTGCTCCCTGGTGTTTTTCTTGACAGTTAAATTCCACTGCCTCTTCAAGGGCCCAAAGATGCCCACATCCATTGGTTGCATCAGATGAGTTGCATTGGGGACGATGCGATATATTTCGATGCCATGAGCGACCGCGTAATCGAATGTGTTGACATCAATGTGGCAGGAAGCACTATCGATCAGCAGAATTACTGGACGCTCTGGACCAGCATTGCGATCGAAATGATCAAGGAATTTGGAGAACGTATCTCCATTCATCCATCCCTTCTTGGTGTAGGTCACGGCTGACCCTCTTGTTGATCCGACCAGGGGATCATATGCTGTGGGGCGTGGTTTGGGGAAAACAAAAAATGGCGGCATAAGTTCCCCTTCTGCATTACCACAATACATGACAGTCAGCCTCTGCTTTGTGGATCCCCCGGTCAGATGTGGCAGTGAACCTGTGTACTCAGATGTGGTGGGTCCAATTACGTGCCCTGACTTACTGCCCATCTGAAAGCCCGTCTCGTCAGCGTTCCATATCCTGTGTGGTTTGTCCAACAAATTTAGGCTTGACACAAATTGATAGTAGCTGTCAAACCACCTGTCGAGCTTGGATTGCGTTACTTTGATTCTCGATGATTCCAAACTCGCTTCTTTCCGCCTTTCAACCACATCGGAGTTTCGGGCCATGAAGGAGTAGTACCAGGTATAACTTGGCCTGGAACTCTTGAAATTTCTGCAACTCTTTTCCTTCTTAATAATTTCCTCGACAAAATCGAGGAACTCTCCAGGGGAAAGCCCCATGCCCCTCTTGGCCATTTCAGAGAGCCACCTAGACAGTGAACGCTCTTCTTCTACACTGAACATTGTCGGTGGGCCATTTCTGCTTTCCACATCTACATCACCGGATATCCTTCTGTGTAGGAATCCGTAAGACAATGAATTTTGTCTGGCTGCTCTCTTAATTGGAATATTCTCATGAACTACCTGGTGGACAGCTTTCTGAACTCTGGCCGCTCTGTTCGGAGACTTCAAGAACCCCTTGGAGTACTTCTTCTTTCTTTTTTTATGCTGCGTAGCCGAGCTGAAAACAGTCGGGGGCACCTTCTTCTTCACCATTTTCTGTGCAATGGAAAGAACGTTTTGTAAAAAGAACTTCAATTAAATGTATATATATATAAATAATGAGTTGATCAATTTTTAGACAATGGTGTATGTTTGGCATTTTCTGTGCAATGAAAAAAACATTATGTAAAAAGAACTGATTAAATGTATTTTAATATATAATGAGTTGATCCATTTTTAGTCAACGGTGTATGTTTGGCATTTTCTGTGCAATGAAAAAACATTTTGTAAAAGAACTTTGATTAAATCTATATGTTTAAATAATGAGTTGATCAATTTTTAGTCAATGGTGTATGTTTGGCATTTTCTGTGCAATGAAAAAACATTTTGTAAAAAAAACTTTGATTAAATCTATATGTTTAAATAATGAGTTGATCACTTTATAGTCAATGGTGTATGTTTGACATTTTCATGCACACCTTAACATGTAAAATTGATGTTATGTGAACCAAGTTTGTGTGAACGAAAAATATAGAGATAGCAAGTGTTACAAATCACATTCTTTTTTGCAAATTTAATTAAGTAATTTTTTTTAAGTGCGAGGCAGCTTAAGGAGAAGTGTAGCTCTGACTGCATTTTATTGGATAATCTGTGTACCTGGGCAAATCTGTTAAATACAATAACTAGTTACATGAAGTCATTATTCAGCAAGTTTCAAATGTGGTTAAATTTTAAAAAGCAAGAAAAATGTGTGCACCCCATGGCCCAGCCTCAGAGTAACATGTAAGCGTATTATTAAAACACTATAGAATGGCAAAACCTAATTTGAATAACATGTAATTTGATAACTATAAAATGGCATCTGCAACTAAGTACAGTCTATTGTTATTCTTAATACACATTCTAATTACAAGTATAAAACCTTGGTCCAAATGTGCAGTGGTGTAAAGTTCTATTTGGTAACCCCTCCCCCGATTTGAAAGCTTAATGTTTGCTATAACCAAAAATTAGAGTGTTTTAACAATAATCGACTGTAGGCCTATATCACTTACTTTCGGTGCCCCCTTATAAAAACTGGAGCATCCCTAGTTATGTAGCCCCCTGCAACTGTATTAAATTTATGTGCACAGTGAACCATGGGACCAACACTTATCTTTATTACATGTATAATGCAAAATTCTGATAAAAAAGCTATTGTATCAGTTCAACAAGATACATGTACATGTAAATAGACCTTGGCCAAGAAAAAAGCATTAGGCTTACGGACCTTGATTTCTAGAAAACCATAAAGAAATGTTACGTTATGTTGGCCATCTGTCTTTTTCCTTTGTATTATCATTTTTTTTCAAAATGTATCCCCCCCCCAAAAAAAAAAAACCATTGGGGCATAGGCCTAACCCTTTTTTTTTCTGGCAAACTTTTTATCAACCTACCGAACCTAAATGTACACTTCACGGATGGAGACTTTACGAAACACATTTTACATGGCCTTAGGCCAATTTTAAAGTAATTATTCCTTTTTTTGGGGGGGGGGATAAAGTAAAACAAAAATAGGGCCTAGGGCCTATGGTCTTTGTGTTTCGTGTTTCAACTTCAATTTTAATCATGACTTCTTTTGCATGTTTTATGTGTAACTTGTATGGCCTAAGTTTGTTTCTTAAATTAAATTTAGGTCCTCTAAAATTCCTTTTAAAATCAATCAAGTCTGAAGAAAAGTTGTAGAAAAGGTATCGCACTAAAAATACTAACCTTTTATTGTTAATGTTTTATTTTAAATTCAAAATTAAAAAGGTTGGCAGTAGGTGTTGAAAATGTATCCCCCCCCCAACAAAAAAAATTTAAAAAAAATTCTGGCAAACTTTTTTAGTTTTCTCCACCCACCGAACCCATATTTTTTTCAAGGCTTTTAGGCCTTTAGGCTTTTAGACACATTTTATTTAGCCTTATTTGACAGTAGACACTTACATGTAATTGTTGTTTCAATTTCAATCTTAATTCTTTTCTTCAATACAAAAATAACATGTTTTACGTGTAACTTAGGCTCTAGCCTAAGCATGCTAAGTTTGTTTCTTAAAATTAAATTGAAATGGGTCCTCTAAAACTTTAGTCCTTTTTTATAAATCACGTCTGAATTAAAAAAAATGTAGAAAACATATTGAACAACAATTGAAAACAACTAACCTTTCTGTTTTTTGTGACTCGGGGGCAATATTTAGCAGCCAGCAGATGAAGCAAAGCAAAGTCTCAGCACCGTCAAATCTGCACGGACAAAATTCTGCGCTGCACATACGGACGGAAAAAAATTACAGCGCGCGGAGACGCAGCACGCACAGCCGACCGTCGCCACAGAAACCCGGGCGACAAAATTTGACACGACACGGTCAAAAAGTGAAGAGTGCGTAAAGAAAACTAAACCAAATATCTGATCTTACGACAACATTTACTTCCTAAAAATTACTTTTTCTGATACAAATTATGGCTCCTTACAAGAATCAGTTAAAAATAAGGGTTTACAAAATCGGAAACGTAGCTAAAATTGACAATAAAAACACGTTGCATTTCGTCTGCTCATGGCCGGTCGTTCGTCTGCCTTGTCGTCCATGTTGATGTGCTATCGGCCAGCACTACGGCTGTTTCATGAAGGGTTTTGCATACAGCATAGAAAATGTACCCTCTCGGTACGGTTAAATTGAAAATGGTCTAAAACAGCCGTAGCAATTTCCCCTCGACGTAGCTGAACTGGAGTTTTGTCGATAAGTTGAGCGATCCGGAACTAGGAAAAGACTCGACGTCCAGTAAAATCCAGTTGTGATAATTGTATCGTTCAAAAAGTTAAAATGCCTGCTCGGTACTTGAGTACGACCAATTTTACGTGTCGTTAACAGTTGAAACAATTTCTTCTGCTTACGAAGTTCAGATTGGAAAGGTGAGAAGTTGAAACGACGTTTTTGAGGAAACTTTTTATTTTTTTTTAATGATCGTTACCATCGACACACTTCAGAAAAATAGCCATAATTTTATAACCGATGATGATATGAACTTGATACTTCATGTGTTATCTTGCTGCAATTTATTCTTCATATTTATTAACAAATCTATACCACGTACGTCATAAATTAATAATGTGGTTGTTGCAAAGTTGAAGCGATCCGGAACTAGGAAAAATCCGGAACTAGGAAAACGACTGTACCATGCCTACTCACTTTTTCTCGACTCGGAGACTCTTTCTGCGGCCTTCTTTTCGGCTTGAAGCAACTGCTGGATACCGGGTGTTTGCGCTGCCATTTTGTCTAGTAATAGTACCGTTAGTAATTGGCAAAGATCGTATGATAATTAATTCAGCATGGAAAACAGTTTTAAACGCACACTGACTAATATGTTGCGTTTGTTTTACCGTATACAATGGCAAAAGATCCGGTGTGTGTTCGTTCGAATGACTCACTGTCTATATGCGTACGGCAGGGTGACCGTAAGATCAGAGTCAAATTCTGCTAAATGCACTTCAAAAATCTGTCAGATTTATCAAAAATCTGCCAAATTCCCCAGAATTACTCGAAATGCACTATAAACACTTAAAATCCAGGCAGATTGGTAGTATTGCCTTAATTGAGATTCAAATTACATAATAAACAATCTAGTCACTGAAAGATGGTGTGAAATTATTAATAAATTTCAGGCAAAATGCGGTTCCACAGTCACGAAGTCCGTTTCCCGGAATTAAACTCAGCACCTAGACCAGCCAACCTGTCCCATTATTGCAAGGGTTTGTTTGAAAGGATTGAAGCTTTTACATTCTGCTATATAAATGCACTTCAAAAATGTACAAATGTACACTTTTTTGTTTAAATTTGCTGTTTTTCTGTCAAATAACCGTTTTTGAAGAATTCTGCCAGAAATCTGCCCCCCAAAAAACATTCTGTCAAATTTTCTGTCAAACTCGTTTTTTTAACGAAAATTCTGTCAAAGTTAGCCGAAAATAGGCTAAAACGGTCACCCTCGGCGTATGCCATGTTTAGGGTGACCGTAAGGTCAGAGCCAAATTGTGCTAAATGTACATAAAAAAAATCTGTCAGATTTATCAAAAAACTGCCAAATTCCCCAGAATTACTCGAAATACACCATGAACACTTAAAATCACATGCAGATTGGTAGTATTGACTTAATTAAGGTTCAAATTACATTATAAACAATCTATATGAAATTATCTAATAAATTTCTGGCAAAACGCAGATCCGGCCACGACGAGGTCCATTTCCCAGTTAACCTCAGCACCTAGACCAGCAAACCTGTCCCATTATGCAAGGGTTTGTTGAAAGGATTGAAGCTTTTTTAAACAAATGATGTACCATTTTTTGTTCAAATTTGCTGTTTTTCGGTCAAATTACCATTTTTGCAGAATTCTGCCAAAATATCCATTCTGGCAATTTTCTGTCAAACTCATTATTTTTACAAAAAAATCTGTCAAAGTTAGCTGAAAATCGGCTAAAACGGTCACCCTACATGGCGCCAGCACATTGCTCATGACATGCGCTCACATGCATATGCATGAGATGGTGCTCGATTTGGGGTGTAAGTTCTCAGGGCATTTTGTGTCATGTAACGTCTAGCCTTTATTCAAGTCCCACGCGCCTATACCCGGACCATCCGGACACGTGACGCATCCCGGATCATGCTGGCACGTAAAAAGACTAGCACGAGCGGCAAAGGTAGTCTGCCAAACCTCGTCCCCAGGGTGTCGAGCAGTACGCGCCCACCACTACCTGCTCTCTCACCCTGGTGTATTGGATCATTTTGCATGTGCAAGATTTTTGCACACGTATGCAAATGAGGAACAGTCTGGTGCCTGGATATGCGTTACACATTAGCGTTTGTTTTTGTATGCGGTGTCTGGGGTAAAAACAGAGTCAATTTGTAGCAGCGCGAGCACGGCGTGAGTTACGAAAGCACGATTTTTGAAATCAAACTGTTACGATCTTATCGAGACAACATGCAGTATCATATTTCATATTAATTTGAGTAAATTGGAAAGGAAATAAATTTATTCGAGAAGGTGAGGACGAATGATCGCGAAAACACGTACTGCACGTTGTGAGTAACAACACGAAGTACACGATATAAATCCATTTCTAGCCAATTGCGGTATCGAATCAGGATGCAGGAAGGAAGTTTTCTATCCAGGGTTTACTATTGGAAACAAGGTTGGAAATAAAGTAAGCACTGGGGACGAGGGTTTAAATCAGTCTAAGGCCGTGTCTGAAACGGGCTTCCAGAGCTACGGCTACGTCTATTGTCAGCGCGTCCCCGCGTATTTTCAATGGGCGCTGACCTAGACCTAGCTCTAGCCAACTGATTTGGATGCAGCCTTATTAAACGGCCGTTTCAAACCTTGCAGAGTCATGACCTTGATGACGCGCAGATCACTGGTCACGCAAAATCCAACCAATCAGAGCGTGAATTCATCAGAGTATTCCAGCGTCCTGTTTGCAGGGCGAAGCGCCCGCGCGGCGTGCAATCTTCGAAATGCGCGCGCAGTACGCTGTGAATAGCCGATCAGCGTCATTTACGTCATCATCACGACCAGGGCCCAATTTCATAGCGCTGCTTAACAGCCGACTTTGTGCTTACCGAGCCTCCATCTATTTCATAGGCACAGTAAGCACAGCAAAAGCAGGCTTAACCTCAGCCGAAAACTTTGCTTAAATCAGTGACGTAACAATAGAAATCTCCATGCGCGCGCAACTGTAAGCACAATCACGGCATGAAATAGTGCTTAAGCAGCAGCATGATTTTCTGCTATAGTAAGCACAACTTTTCTGCTTACTGTTAAGCAGTGCTATGAAATTGGGCCGAGTGCAAGGGTATATGAGAACTACAGTTGGGACCGGTGTAGCGTGAATATCCGACTCCATGAAATGTGGACTCATTGGTAGTACTGCGCACGCGTGAGTACGATACTAGGCCATTTTTAGGATCGTTTCGGGAGAGTGACCTGTCACGTGCGAGGGATCAACCAATAATAGGGAAATAGGGGTCCGATTTTCATAGGAGTCGGATTTTCATGTGACACCGTCCCAACTATAGGCCTTTCTTTTGTTTGTAAACATTGGCGCCATTTTGTATGGGCTGCCGTAAGCGCATAAATTGAAGCCGTGGTTGGCAACATATTCTTTTCCCCAAAAAAGTCTTCATAACACCATCATATCAACACATAGTAAAAAGGCATATGTGAGAATTATTTTGTAGTTTTGTTGATAATGTTGTATTGTTAAGTACTTTTTTTTTTAAGTATCAAATAATATTTCGGTGATCTGTAATACCTCTTCTTCATTTTTGCAGTGTTGGACCTTCCATACTTTTGCAGGCCGTGGTTTTCGCTCGCACCCCCCGCCCTGCAAACAGGACGCTGGGATACTCTGATGAATTCACGCTCTGATTGGTTAGATTTTGCGTGACCAGCGACCTGCGCGTCATCAAGGTCATGACTCTGCAAGGTTTGAAATTACTATATATTTTGACGTTTGATTCTATATATTTAGAGGGCGCTTCGTCTTATATATTTAACGTTTCAATAGGGTGACCGTTTTAGCCGAATTTCGACTAAATTTGACAGATTTTTTGGGGGAAAAAAAGTTTGACAAAAAATCTAGCAGATTGAATTGATTCTAGTAGATTTCTAGCAGAATTCTGCACAATTGGTGATTTTGACGGGAAAATATAGCAGTTTTTGAAGAAAAAAAGTTTCACAGAAAATCTAGCAAATGATTTTATTTAAAGCAGATTATCAAGCAGATTCTGCCAAATTGGTGAGTTGGACGGAAAAATATAGCAGAGCTGATTTCCTTAAAAAAAAAAGCTTTATTTTTTGGGCCAATCTAAGCGTTGAGGTACGAGAACACAGTAAAGTACTGTAGACATTGGAAACCAGGCTAGACACGAGCCATTTAAAAAAGAATAATAACTTTTTTTTATAAAGGAAATTTTATTTTAAAAATGGGGGGGGGGGGGGTAAGGACATTTTATAACATCTGCATATGAGTATAGGTGTTTATAATGTATTTCATGTAAATCACAGGTGATTTTGCAGATTTTTGTTTAATCAATCAGATTTTGGAAGTACATCTAGCAGAATTTGGCATTGACCTTACAGACACCCTGAATTGAGTCCATTTGCAACTTGCTTCGTTTTATATAATTATTACAATTCTCGTTTGATATATTTTTCTCGTTCTATATTTATTTGAGTTTCGTTCTATATATATTTGAGTTTCGTTCTATATATATTTGAGTTACGTTATATATACATATTTGAAGTTCGTTCTATATATATTGGAGTTACGTTCTAAATTATATTGGAGTTACGTTCTATATATATATTTACGAAAGCCCATTAGCGCCACTGCAAGTATATATGTTACAGATTATGTAATTCGTTATTACGGATTATTAATTCGTTATAACGGATTATTAATTCGTTATTACGGATTATTTAATTCGTTATTACAGATTATTAATTCGTTATTACGGATTATTTAATTCGTTATTACGGATTATTTAATTCGTTATTACGGATTATTAATTCGTTATTACGGATTATTAATTCGTTATTACGAATTAAGTCTGATGTTCTCACACGTGGAGAGCACGTGACCAGGGGCCTATGTATATAGCGCCGCTAGGCGGCGCTATCTTTGCATACGTTTGCTTTACACCAGCACCACTCCTGTGCCATACTAAGTTGCCGAGTAATGACTCAGAACGTACGAGTAATTCGTAATAACGAATTAATAATCCGTAATAACGAATTAAATAATCCGTTATAACGAATTAGTAATCCGTAATAACGAATTAAATAATCCGTAATAACGAATTAAATAATCCGCAACATATATACTTGCACTGGCGCTAATGGGCTTTCGTATATATTTGAGTTACGTTCTATATATATTTGAGTAACGTTCTATATATATTGGAGGTACGTTCTATATATATTTGATTTTCGTTCTATATATATGGGTTTCGTCCTATATATATTGGTTTCGTTCAATATATATTTGTTTCGTAATAAAGTCATAAAGGGCGCCTCATAATAATAGTTTAGGACCGATTCCAACCGGGAACCGAACTCTGTTGCTATGCTCAGCAGTGCTCACGCGCCGCCGCAGGATATTAGCTTACACATGCGCCACATGCACAGTCCACTCACTGCATGCTCGATTCGTTAAGATGAGTAAACAAGCCCGGAAAGTATGGCGAGATCTGAATGGCTTGTTTGCTGTCTACAAACCATCGAGCTTGCAACCGAAAGACGTTAAGCAAATGGTACAGAGCGTTCTCATTGAAGGTACAGTGATGCTTCGACTGATTTAGTGGCGATTGTTAGTCCGAGGGTCCTAGGATCTTACTTCTTAGAGTAGGCCTAGCTTGAGTAACTAGCCCGACTGCGTCTGGCCGTACAGTACTATCGCAAGCTCTGTAGCACGGCCAGACGCTCAATGCTTCCCCACGGACTGATTTTTTTTCACTCTGATGTAGCGATTTTGCTACAGATTTTGATCGAGATTATCTTTTCATCCAGGACAAAAATTTCCAAAGTTAAGGTTCTTAGTCGTAGAGCAACTCATACCTTTTTGAAAAAACGTTCTTTGGTCTCAATATTTTCATCCATCTGGCCAAAAGACGACTTTCAGTCATAATCTTCCACAAATATCGTCCCGAAAATGTCCTCCATGCGATTTCAAAATGGCGGCCGCGTTGTAATGTATGCATTATGCGGGCGCGCTTGGGCAAGATAATGAATATGCATTATTTAGTTCATGACCTCTTGTTTGTATGGCCAGCCGCGCCGCGCGCCCGACAAACGTCATAAACTAAGATGCATATTCATTATATTGCCCAAGCACGCCCGCAAAATGCATACATTACAACGCGGCCGCCATTTTGAAATCGCATGGAGGACATTTTCAGGACGATATTTGTTGAAGATGATGACTGAAAGTCGTCTTTTGGCCAGATGGATGAAAATATTGGGACCAAAGAACGTTTTTTTCAGAAAGGTATGAGTCTCTATGACTAGGAACCTTAACTTTGGATATTTCTGTCCTGGACGAGAAGATAATCTCGATCAAAATCTGTAGCAAAATCGCTACATCAGAGTGAAAAAAAAATCCAGTCTGGGGAAGCATTGAGCGTCTGGCCGAACTACAGAGCTTGCGATAGTGTACGGCCAGACGCAGTCGGGCTAGAGTAACTCCAGCTGACATGCTCATATCCATTCACATGTAGCGTTGTAGACCCGTGAACGCAACCTCGTGCTCAGTGGGTACGATCTTGCAGCGCCATGTTGTTTCCCATCATGCCTTGCGCGATCGTAACCCCTGGGATTGTGTAATTTAAATGTGCCAAAATTATATTATAAGTACATTATAATAATTAGGGCTGCAGTTTATCGTTTTACGTGCCGACGCCATCTTTAAAATGTTAAAAGTTGTGATTTTGAAGAATCAAACCTTTCAAACACAACGTTTGGACGTTGTGTTAATTAGCAAAGTTTTGTAGTAAATGTTTTTTTTTAGCGAAAAACGCGGCTGACATAATCCATATCGTACAGGCATTGCGACTTTTGAATCCTAATTTTTTTTTCGTACGTGACGTTACGTGCAGAGCACACGAGCGCATTATGGGGGCACCCGGCGTGCAATCTTTGAAATGCGAGTGCAGTACGCTGTGAGTAGCCATTCAGCGTCAATTAAGTCATCATCACAGCTAGGGGTTAGTGTAAGGAACGAGCACGCGCCCCTGGAGTCGAGGCTGCCGTGAACGTGGCTATGAAGATGTCACGCCCCAACTATCGCATCGGTCCCAACTATAGTTGGGCCTGTCCCAACTGTAGTTCCACAGTTGGGCTGGCCCAACTATAAGTTCCATTGTTGGGCTGGCCCATCTATAGTTGGGCCACTCCGATCTTTTTATTTTGCGGTGTCCCAACTATAGTTTACATTGATGTACAACCATAAAACGTTCCCTTCAGCTCTGATACACGTCTGACTTTACTGGGGACCACTGAAATTAGGTATTGATGGGGCGAATCTATAGTTGGGCCACCCCAATCTTTTTAATTTGCGGTCCCAACTATAGTATACAAATATTGAATGCTTCGAGTGGTGTAGTAAAACTAGCCTCCCGAGGTGATTCCATGGACCATTCTATTTTCCCGAGGCGAAGCCGAGGGAAAATAGAATGGTCCATGGATCACCGAGGGAGGCTAGTTTTACTTCACCACAAAATAAAGCATTCAATATTTGTTTTATAACACTTCACCCACAGATTCTGCTTGATTTTAATATTTTAAATTATTTAAATCTGAACACAGTTGAAATAATCTTCAACTTCAATACAAAATTGGTGGAAAATGTATTTCTCTCTTATAAACTACCCCTTCACGAAATGTTTGAACCCAAGTCTGCGGCGCGCTCTCTTTGGAATAATACGCGCTACGCACAATGCGCAACGCGCACACCAGCATGCATTTGCACACAAATACCGCGCCGTGGAAATAGTACTTTGGTTGCTAATGGTATACTACTTTGGTTGCTATGCGCATAGTACTTTTGGCCGTGCACAGAAAGATAGCAAAATTAGAAAGTAACATGTGACTCGCTCTCGGCCAATCAAGACACAGAATCTGTGGGTGAGGTGTTATAATGTACATTGTTGTACGATTATAAAACATTCCCTACAACTCTAATACATCTGACTTTACTGGGGACCAATGAAATGATCTATGGGTGGGGACCATCTGTAGTTGAGCCACCGCAATATTTTTCTTTGGCAGTCCCAACTATAGTTTACATTGATGTACGACTATAAAACATTCTCTACAGCTCTGCTTACATGTCCGACTTGAGACCTTTGACATTAGCTATGGTAGGGGCCCATCTATAGTTGGCCGGCCATGGCAATCTTTGAATTTTGCAAAATGTTGCTGGATAATAAAACCCAGCAGCTGGACAACTCATCCAACTAGGCAGTACCACGTGACCGGCCAGCCTTGCGGCATGCATGCACGACGAATACACGGTGCCAGCGCCGCGGAACATTTAATCCAACAAGATCTATCAAGCATGGAGCATCCGGCGCAACTCCAGTCCTAACTATAGTTGGACCGACCCAACTGCCGCACTATAGTTGGGACAGTCCCAACTATAGTTGGGACCGATGCGATAGTTGGGGCGTGACAAATATAGTCGTGTTCCCTAACATCATGAACGTGGCGCACTTCGAAGCTTACCCGACTTTCCTCGTGTAGTGTTGCTTAACCTCTTTGTTGACAAACCTCAAATTCATGCAGTAAAATACTGGTACTTTTACCTTATTAATGCTTGCTATCTAACCTCTCAGCCTCTGTGAACAATTTCGGTTTTATAAAATTTAATCCGAAATTCAAAAACGGTGGCGTCCGGAAATTGGGCACTACGGTGGCCCACAACTGTCACGGCAAAAGCAAAAGTGCCACGGCAAGCGCGACAGCGCCGCGGCAAGCGCAACAGCGCCACGGCAAGCGCAAAAGCGCTACGGCAAAAGAAAAAGCGCCGCGGCAAAACAAAAAGCACCACGGCAAAAGAAAAAGCGCCACGGCAAAACAAAAAGCGCCACGGCAAAACAAAAAGCGCCGCGGCAAGCGCAAAAGCGCCACGGCAGGCGCAAAAGCGCCACGGTAAGCGCAAAAGCGCCTCCACGAAAGCAAAAGCGCCACGGGTTTAGTGGGAAGGGGCGTAATCAAACAGGCCGCTACTACATCAAAAAATAAAATGGGAAGGAGAATGGCCACCACCAGGAATTCTTATTCAGCACAGAATTTAATTCTTTGAGAAGTGATTCTATGGCTGAGAAAATAGCAAGGCCAAGGAAAACCGGTCAGTGCAAGCAACGTTCAGGAAATAAATCGTCGATATTAATTTGTTGTAGGATAATTATTATTCCAAGAGAGTTGCTGCCGTGAATCAGGGTTATAAAGGAGTGGAACTCACTATCAGCACCATCAGGGCCGTTCCTCATTTCTTTACATTTCGTTAGATGCAAACAATTAGGGAGGATGGGAGGCTCTGTGAGCTGATGCATTTTTTTGAAGAGTATTTTTTCCTTCCGACCGTAGCATGCAAAGAAGAGTTCCGTTAATTTGAGACTTAGTTCACCCATGGGCGTCGCGAGGGGGGCAAGGGGCGCTCCCCCCCCCCCCCCCCCCCCCCCCCCCGGAATAGCACACAAAAAAGGAAGAGGGAAAAAAAGAGAAAAAAAGAAAAGAAAAAGAGGCGCGAAGTCATAGTGGTGTAAATTGAATGAGTTGGGGGGGGGGGGGCAAAATGTCCCTGCCCCCGTCTAAAACTGAGAATCTGTTCAAATCGAGAATTTGTTCAGAAATACAAGAATTTTTTGGGGAAAATATGTTTTGCCCCCCTCTAGAAGTGATTTTATGGCTGAGAAAATAGCAAGAAAAACCAGTCAGTGCAAGCAAATGGGCCCGCGGGCGAGTTACGTGTTGACAAGCCTTACCCACCCACTGCCGCAGCCCTGCAGGAGAGCCTTAATTGACTTCCTAGATGTGTATGATATACTGAAAAAGAAAAAAAAAACTTAACTCATACACTCTGGGCAGCTCACTTGCGTGCCTACACTGGTATACAAACCTGTGAACTAAGGCTCAAATTAACGGAACTCTTCTCTGCATGCTAGTCGGAAGGGGAAAAAAATGTCTTCAAAAATGCATCAGCTCACAGAGCCTCCCGTCCTCGTTTTATTGATTGCATCCCACGAAATGTAAAGAAATGAGGAACATCCCCGATGGTGCAGATATAGCAAGTCCTACTTTCCCTCTCCTTTTTAAACTCTGTTTCACGGCAGCAACTCTCTGAATCTTGGAATCATCCTACAACAAATTAATATCGACGATTTATCAGTCCCTGAACGTTGCTTCACTGACCGGTTTTCCTTGCTATTTTCTCAGCCATAAAATCACTTCTCAAAGAATTAAATTCTGTGATTAATAAGAATTCCTGGTGGCGGCCATTCTCCTTCCCATTTTATTTTTTGATGTAGTAGCGGCATGTATGATTACGCCCCTTCCCAATAAACCCGTGGCGCTTTTGCTTTCGCCGTGTCGCTTTTGCGCTTGCCGCGGCGCTTTTGCTTTTGCCAGGGCGCTTTTGCGCTTGCCGTGGCGCTTTTGCGCTTGCCGTGGCGCTTTCGCTTTTGCCGCGGCACTTTTGCTTTTGCCGCGGCGCTGTTGCTTTTGCCGTGGCACTTTTGCTTTTGCCGCGGCGCTTTTGCGCTTGCCGTGGCGCTTTT